TAAATATTTTAGCTTTAGTGAAACTGCAGTTAAACTTATAAAGAGCTATTTAAGTGAAAGGTTTCAGAAAATAAAAGTCAGAAACAACTTTTCTACATTTGTGCAGATGTATTCAGGTGTTCCACAGGGGTCCATCTTGGGTCCTCTGTTGTTTAGTATTTTTATAAATGACATTTTCGCCACCTTCTGCCATGCTCGCTTGCATGATTATGGCGATAAGGTGTAACTGTATCTCTCTAATAGGTTTGAATTACTACTCTCTTTATGCCCAGAAGTCCAGCGTTATCCCAATTCAAAAAGATAAGATTTCGGTATCTCAGATTCCCACCTTTCCCAAAACGCATCCGAAATGTTATCTAAACGCATCGCTAGAGCAATCAGCGCATTGGTGTTTTAAAAATGGAAAATTCCGAAAGATGATCACTGTTATAATTAATATTCAAAATGTGAATGTATTTGGTTACAATGCTTCGCAACTCTGCATATGTATACAAACAGTTTAAATACAACCGGATCACTGTAACTTTTTCCAGTATAGGTAGCCGCCATACACGAAGCTTCGGATTGGTTGCTCTCTAGTCTATCACCTTTCAGGAAGGTGAATATCTATGCCGAAAGCCTAGCAGCTATCAAAGCTCTTGGCTCTCTGATAGTTCATTCAAAAATGGTGCCGTATTACTACGGTGTTAAGCTCATTTGGGTTGCGGGTCACAGCGAAATCGGTGGAAATGGCATGGTCGATGAGCTGACAGGACAGGGAACCCTTGAGAAAGTCTGGGTGTTCCCCTAATCTGATGTGATCCACCCCTGGACAAATGGACATTTAGTTAGCTCAGCAAGCTCTATGCGAAGATCTTGGAATGCAATATGGCTAAATCGTTCTGGCCACGTGTAGACCGAAGGCAGTCCAAGGAGCGCTTGTGACGGAGCAACGGGGGTCGTAGGAGGGTTCTCGACGTCGCACTTTCGTCGCATTACCTGGTGCACGTCCATTATTGCGCAGAGGCGCATGCGGACCTTAGCTGCAACGATGTAGTGTGATCCGAGTCGATGTTTGGCTCTCGGATAGAACACTCGAAACGTATCTGATGATCAATTTGGTTTCTCGTTCTTTGATCAGGGGATATCGAAGTGGCTTTGTTTATGTTTCGTTGCTGGTGTCTGGTACCACGAACTACTATGTTCTGTACCGCGGCGATGTCGATCAGCTACATATCCGTAAATCGTTAACGTTATTTAAAAGCGAGGGACGTCACCGATTGGGGGGAGTTAAGCGAGGCATTGGTTAAACTTTTTTTAAGTGGTGGGTCTCAAGCGACTATACCCCATTGCACTATCTGAATATTTAAAGCAATTAACTGATTTGGAGTTTTTTCAAGAAAATGTCTGAACTACAAATAAAAACAAGTAAGAGCAGCGCTGTCTTCGGCTATGCCGAAGGCTTCAT